AGAGAGACTTGACCTCTTTAAAAATAAAGCCKTCATTCCTGCTTCCTAATACCAAACATGCTCCCCTTAGAGATGAAAGAGTTAATAAAGAGTTAAGTGATCAAAGGCAATGACAATTATGGAAGCCTTCCTTCTGTTATAAAGAGAAGGCTAGGAGAGAAGTCCTAAAGGGGCCTGAGGTCCTTATAGAATGCTTACATTRTTGCAGTTACTTGTCCCCAGGGCAGGGCCAATCAAATGTAGTGACTGAGGATTTTGACATATTTGCAGAGTTCTGYTAGATTCAGAAGTACACTGCACAGGGCTGGGATTGTGGCTCAGTGGCAGAGCACTTGCCTAGCATGTTGAGGTACTGGGTTCGATTCTCAGCACCACATATCAATAAATAAAATAAAGGCTCATTGACAACTAAAAAAAAAGAAAAGAAAAAGTACATTGCCCAGAAAAAGACAATCGTTTCTACTCATCAACTTTTTGTTTGAAAATCTTTTTCTGAAGCAAATTCTCATTACTATATAGTACCCACTAGTTTAGAATATTTGATGAATCTGATATTGGTCAAAATTTGGTTATATTTTTAAGGGGATATATTTTCTTAACAAATTAAACACTGGTTGATGGCCAAACACTAAAACCATTGTTTTCAAGAATATTACAAACACTTTAATATTTAAAATGTTATTTATTTATAAACATGTTATTGGCCTCTCCCTTTCCATTTACTAGCATGGGAGCTACAAGGATGTGTGTGTGTGTGTGTGTGTGTGTGTGTGTGTATGTGTGTGTGTGTGTAGAAATAATAAAATATCCTATAACTCAGATTGTTTAAGAACGTTTTCCAAAATCTGGAGATACATTTCAATTTTTAATTTTTTTAATATTATTTTAGTTAGTAGTAGACTTTTATTTTACTTATTTATATGTGGTGCTGAGAATCAAACCCAGTGCCTTACACATGCTAGGCAAGCACTCTGCCACTGAGCCACAACCCCAGTCACTCAATTTTTTATTGATCTATAATCTTTAAAATTTATAAATAAAGCTTCAATTCTATATTAACAAAGCACTAATACATTTTAGATACAGCACTTACACAAAAGTAATATTCAGATAATAATACGAATCAATGGAAGATTGCTTAATCTCCCCACTATTTGTTCTGCCCCTTCCATTGTGGAAGAATTTTCATTGGACACATTACTGTAAAGAYCTTCCTTCTTTGTCACCTGTCTAGGTTTATGAGACCACATGACTAAGCTCTCATTACTGCAATGTGTGTAAACATCTTATACTGCCTGGGTATCTGCTCTCCTACTCTGTCTTCCTTTACCTAATGGCTGGGAAATAAGAGCAACTGAAGGGATCACCTTAGACTAGAAATGGAAATCCCAAGCTGAGAGGATCTCAGGGACTCCCAACTAACCATACTCCGCTCACCTCTAGACTGCAATGTGGGAGAAAAGTGTGTACTGATCTTKTCTGTGTCACATCAACTCAGCCTGTACCCCACTAGTACAATATGATACATTTAACTAATTCAACAAATGAATGATATTTGCAGAGTTATGTTTATATGTCAGTTTGTGGTTTATATGGATTGTATCATCATTCCAACAACTCCATAACATTACCTTGGCCAAATTATAAAGCTAACAATTGACAGAACCAATTGATGGACATATGTGCTCCAAATGATTACATAATGGAATAATAATTCAATAAGAGATATTTTAAAACTTTAATGTATTAGGGTCAGCAATAATTCTTAAGTCTCCTCACTCTTGATTCCTAACAGAAGGTAGGCAAGAAACCTATGTAAAATCCACATCTGYTAAGAGTATTGAATGCATTCAATAACATTAATCAACTTTCCCCAGACTGATATTTTATGACCCCATTAAGCAATTTTCATAAAACTACAAGGATGCATTATTTTAGCAATGTGGCTCATTACATTGGTTCTTGGCCTTCATGTAAAACTGACTTTACCTGTGAAGCCAGTAAAATTAATTATGTTAATTGATTTGTGAAGAAACAAAATTTCTACAATATTAACTTTGGTCCAGGGACCTATTTAATTCCTCCCCTCCTTCAACTTCTGGTCCTCAGCATGCATTCAACACTTCTGATGTCTGTCGCTCAGTGTCAGTGTCTGTCATACATGAGAACCCAAGTTTGGTCGCCAGCACTTCAAAAATAAATAAACAAAACTCCACAACAATGCCCCCAAACTTAGCTCAAAGTTCATTCTCAACAATGTTATCTTTCAAGCGGTTTTTGCCTCAAGTTTACACGGCTTAAAAAATGTATTCCTTTTGCCCAAATCATGGACCTTCTCTCTAGGAAAAGTTAGGAAGCAATGGGATCACTTATCCTGTAAGAGGATGCTCTCCATGTGCCCTAATACCTGAATTCTGCTCAGTCTCCAGTGCAGACACACACACACACACACACACACACACACACACACACACACACAACAGAGAGAGAGAGGAAGAGAGAGAGAGCTTCCCTAACATGTCATTCTCTTACACATACTACATCTGCCACTACATTGAGGTACGTTCCTCATAAACAAAAAATTATGGGGATTTTCATCTTTTCCATCTACTTTTTTATCCTAATTCAGACAAAGTCATTAATTCATACAATTTTACAGTCTTCTAAGCCATCTATACTTCCTAAGACCTAATGGAAACTCGGTGAAATTTTTTTACTTAATGTTTTATTGCAAAACACAGATTTGGCAATAGAAGATTCATATCATAACACGAAATAAGATAACGAGGTCAGCCAAGCAAGTGGTTTTTGAGGCTAGAGAGGCACTGAATAGGTTTCCAAGAGCTTATTTTTAATCTCAATCTGTCAATAAAAAGCATCATGTAACTTAAAACCAGAATCTGTCATTTGTCATTTTTTCTCTCCTTGTGGTTGAATGAAAGCCCTTAGTCAATTTAAACAGTATTTAAATGAAAATTAATAAATAATATTTGCTGGAACATCCACAAATCCCATTGCTCAGTCTCACTTATATGCTGCACACTTTCTCAGTGTAGCATATCTTCYCCAGGGAATCACTACAGATTCCTACTGTCAATTTACAATAGCTTTCAGGCATCTTTTCACCCCAAGCACTGGGGATTTTTGATGAGCTGTGTCAGTTCGCTGAGAAAAGAAACTGTTTCTTTGTCTACTCTTGGTAGCCTGCACAGTGCCTGGAACACATTATGTGCTCAATGAGGATTGATTAGAATTAAATCTCATCACTGGTGTTCACAAGAAATACCCTTCATTTCCAAATGCATTCCTTATCTCACAGATACAGGCTTAGTACCCTTATGTAAAAGATTTGAGACCACAAATTCTTTGGATTTGAAATCTCTTCTGAACAATTTGCTTATATATATATATATATATACACACACACACACACACACACACACACACACACACACACACACGAGCTGTCTCGGGAATGAGACCCAAGTCTAAATATGCTCAACCTAATATTAGTTTTAATGAAAACTCTCTTGTAGAATACAATTATGGCATTTGCAATAAATGGATGGAGTTGAAGAATATCATGCTAAGCAAAGTAAGCCAACCCTCCCCCCCCAAAAAAAAAACAAAGGTCAAATATTCTCTCTGATAAGTGGATGCTAACCCATAAAGGGGTGGGCGGGCATGGGGAGAATGGAGGAACTTTGGGCAAAGGGGAGGGAGGAAAGGGGTGGGGGTATGGGGATAGGAAAGATGGTGAAATGAGATGAACATCATTACCTAGGTACATGTATGACTGCACATATGGTGGGACTCTACATCAAGTACAACCAGAGAAATGAAAAGTTGTGCGCCATTTCTGTACAATGAATCAAAATTCATTCTGTTAACATGTATAACTAATTGGAACAAATAAAAAAACTCTTCTGTTTTTAATTCTATAATTGTTTCATAAAGAGGTTCAGAAGAAATTTTAAAGTCTTATACTTAACTTATCAATATGTTTCCATTTCTCTCAGAGAGGAATATTCACATGCAAGGTGAATGTTCCTAATCTAAAAACATGAAATCCAAAATGCTCCAAAATTGGAAATTTTCTGATTACCCAACAATGCTACAAATATAAAATTCCACACTTGACACCATGAGCTAGGTCACAGTCAAAACATATACCATTTCACTTAATCAACCCACCACATTTTAAAATATAAACAGGGTCTTTGTATCACTAAGAACACAAGGTGAGAGTACATGTAACAAAAAGTTATTACATGACTTACACTGAAATTGAATTTGTGAGACCCCATACAAATGACATTTAACTTTGATTAATCTTACAGAATATATATATAAATGCTCTAACCCATGAAAAATAATCTAAGATTCTATAAAATATTTATACCACATATTCATGTCCTTTTCAAAAAAAACTTTAAAGTAACTTTCACAACCAGTTTAGAAATCATAAGAAAAAAATCACCTTTTATTGTATCTCCATTTCTTGCACCAAAATCTTTATTAGCAATCTCAATTGATCATTCCAATCTCTGGACATGGTTATAAACACTTTTCATTTTTTTTAAATAAAATATATCCTCAAAGAACAAAGATGAGTTTCCATTGAGGATATTCAAAAGAACCATTATAGAATTGGAAGTCATCACTATCTAAGAAATATATTCTGAGAAATGGAAACACCGTGGTAACATGCACATGGCACCCAACTATGAATATTGGTACATACACAAATCAGGAACTCATCTAAGTGAGAGATGGTGTAAACTGTAAAACTGGTATAAACTGTAAAGTGTGGTGAGTTTCATTAACTGTTAGGGGTGGCACTCTTGTTCAAAATAACTAACAGTAGCAAGGGTTTCTCTCAGAATGTCACTTCTAGATCCACAGGAAAAATCATATTCTATCTATAACATAGATACACACTTTCTTAGAAAACAGAAGGACATTCAAATTAGCAAGTTCCTTTGATGGTTTTTACTCACATCAACAAGCTGATTGACTCCACTTGCTGTTTTTGCCAGTGTGACAAGGTCTTCCTGCATCTTGTCAACCCATGACTTGATACTGTAGAAATCAGAAAGAAAAATATTCTATTACATCTTTGGCAAATCAAGGTCACATGGTGATATTTTATATCTATGCTTCAGATAATTCATAAATTGTCCTTAGATCTTTCTTCTCCCTCCTAGCTCCCACATGTCCACCCTCCCATTCCACCTTCCAATTTCAAAGCAGTCAACCTTTAGATACAAATGTTTAGGATGCTAAAACATCCACAAATCCAAAAGAGGAAAAATGACATGGATGTYTTCTATGATTTGAAGGCAAACATTTGCTTATTTTTCTTAAAATKTAATAAATATATTACTAAGTAGAACATTCTAAATTACAAATGCTGTATTTTTGCATACAAGTCCGCTGAATATAATAGTGAGAGTATAATAAATGCAGACTATTTGAAAAATGGAAGAATAATCCCACCAGAGATAATGGCTCTAATTCTTTTATTTAGTTGTTTCATTTATACCATATGATAAATACAAACATATGCTGACACAAATATTCTATAAACATATCCTTTTTAATGACTACTTAACTCCACATTCTATACTATGCTCGACAATTCTTTTTTTTWAAAAAAAAGTCATCAGTCATCTGTTTTTAACCACTACAAATCATACTGCAATATTTTAGTGGACAATTTTAAATGCACTTTATTTCTTTAGCTAGACACTTAGATATGAATTCTGGATCAAAGTTTAAATTTTAAAGCAATGGTCTTAATCATTAAAATTATGATCAAAAGATTTAAGTTCAAGTCCTTTCTTTAGATTAATGCAAAGAAAATCTTAAAGTATAAGCTATGGTTTCAGGGCATTTTAGGAAAACCTAAATACATCTTCTATCTCAGTTATTTCTGGCATTCAAAACAGTACCAAATACCACACAATTTTTCTGATTCATATCAATATAATTTTCAGTTTCCTCATCTATTTCATTTATTCATCCTCATAGTCACAGTGGCCTGAAATCACACCTACCGGGGAAGTTGAGGCAGAAGGATCACAAGTTCAAGGYTAGCTGGACACMTTAGTGCAACTATGTCTCAAAAGCAATAAAAACAGAAGGGCTGGAGATGTAGCTCAGCAGTAAAATAAATAAATAAATAAATAATCTATGATTTTTTTCTCTCCAGGCAATTATATGGAAACATAAGTAATCTGATAAAATGATGAGATGTTTACTTTGAATATGAGCTTTACTCTACATACGTATGATCTAAATCATGGAAACTTAGTTTTATATGTCTTTTCTTCCTTAGATAACACAGAAGAATTCCAGTAGTACATCATGGTCACCAATTTTTTTTCAGCTAAACACACATGTAATATAATAAACAATAAATGTGAAATACAAATATAACATGGAAAAGGGATTTAAGTGAGGTTTAAGAGAACATATAAAAGAATAATGAGCTGACAAACTAAAGAGGAAGAAGGGAAACTAGAAAGTCAGTCATAAAAATGGATGAAGTGCTAGAGAGTAAAACACAGAGGCATGATTTATGTGTAAAACAAACTTAGTAAATAAAATAAATTAGCACTAGGAACACTTTAGCACAAACAAAAATAAAGGATAACATTTATTGAACCATGCTTTATGAATAGGATTGAAGAAAGGTAAATGAATATCAAGAAACAAAATCAAATAGAAATTTATAGGGTAATTAAAATGAACAGTGCACATAATGTCATCCGGATAGTACAGTTTGTGCTATTTATGAGCTGGTGCATACATCTGAACAACATTATAAGCAACAACCAATCAATATTCTTAGTATTGCTATTAGGGAATTACAATTATGCCCTAGTTTTACATCGAGAACAAAAAAAAAAATACAGTAGAGTATAGGAAGAGCAAAGAACATTGGTACTATTTTCTAATTCAGATCAGACTATCTTGTTGCTTTAAGCAGTTACTGAGTAAGTCATGGAACAGGGAAAAACTGAATCATCTCTTCTCAAATAAACTATCAACACTGACAAAAAGCAAGAAGTGTTATACATCCCTTTAGCTGGGAAACTGAGAGACGAATATATCTAATGACTAAATTCTGATTTTTGCCCAACTAATCTAAAATATGCACTCTCTCCTGACACCTGTGGGCACTGTCGCTATCAATGTTCACTGAGGTGAACTTTTTTGCACTGCAAAGCACTTTAGGACATGTCCAGTCTTCTCTGCCCCACTGACAAGCTGTCAAGAACACTTTATAGGAGCATGAATTATTATACAGATATGAAGTGTTAGTTGATTTTCCTAAAATATTATATAAGTAGTCTACTTTTGCCCTTGAATTACAAGGTGATAAAGACCAGGAAATAAGGAAAGGTCACATTTACTTCAAAAGTGGAAAATTACAAAATAGATAATACTCATGTGCAAATATTTATCKATCTTTTTCTTACTTGGTAAATCATCAAGCACATATGTATAATCATTTTATTAAATTTATCCAGATGGAACTATAAAATTTGGGGGAAATAATGGGAGAAACAAAATTTTCACATAATAAGAAAGGAACATGGCACTCCACCAGGAAGAATTTATTGTTCACTCTTGACATTGTTCAGCTACCAGGAGGGAGTCACTTAATGCTTATTCATAGTGGTGTGGGGAGGCTGGTAGAAGAGGCTATATGTGAGCCTTTGCCTTGCTCTAAGATCCTACTTAATATGAGTTGATTAGAAAGAGAAAAGCATGATTTTTTCATTAATTATATAACTACATGGAGATATTCACAAGAGATTCAAGTACTAAAAAAAAAAAAATGGCCAAAGCATGGAGTTTATATACTTTTGAGGCAAAGAATRATTAAGTTGTGAAGGGATGATGGAACAAATAAATATGGAGATTCAGGTAGTTAATTCTAGAAATGTTACTAAGAAATATATGGAAGGCATAGAAGCTAGCAGAAAATTAGAGTTACTTCRGGATTTGTTTATTCATATTCACTGTGGCCCTAATTTCCAGTCTCTGGTGGTCAGAGCTAGTTTTCATTCTTGGTATGTAAAGGGTATCCCTCTCAAAAGAACCTCCAGGGCTTGCTGCAGGTAGGAAACACATGCTAAATGGCTCTTTCTGAAGTTCTAGCTCCTCAAGTGATCAGTCTGAAATGAAATCAATAAACCAACTGGGAATATTTTGGAATGGCATATCATTAATTCCTTCAAGGCTTTCTGGAGAAGTAGCTATTTAAAATGACAAAATTGAACAAAGTCAGAGTGTAGACAAAGAGAATACAAAGCATGGCTTATTTAACAACTTCAAGAAGTCCAAGCTTGGCAAATGATATGAAATTGAGGCAGGAATGGAAGGGCAAAATTCATCCAGAAAGATGGTCCAGTCCAAGAATCTGAAATAACCTTTTGAAGCATTTAGATGGTATTCTCAAAATAATGGAGGGACAATAGAAAATGAGAAGCCAGAAAGAAAGAAGGCAAGTAGAAATAAACAATCCAACAGAAATTTCTAAGTATGCATCACAAGATTTCTTGTACCATTAGATAAAGAAAATAATTGGGGGGGCTGGAGTTGTGGCTCATAGGTAGAGTGCTAGCCTAGCACATGTGAGGCCCTGGGTTTGATCCTCAGCACCATATAAAAATAAAAAAATAAAATAAAATAAATGTATTGTRTCCATTTACAACTAAAAATAAATATTAAAAAAAAGAAAATGATTGGGAAGAAGAATTGGGAAATGATTCAGGGAGTTCCTCAGTTAGATTTTACAGGGCATTTTAATATAGAAAGTATGGGGGAAGACCAATTTGGAGGGACATTGATAAGTTTTGCTTGCTGGATTGGGGATTGAACCCAGGACCCCACTATGCTTAACCAAGCATTCTGCCACTGACTGAGCTGCAGCGCCAACCCATGAGTTTCTGTTTTTAGATTTAATTAAAGTTGTTTTTTTTTAAGAGAACTGAATAGACATGTAATAGACAGTTGAATATACAAAGGTTTACAGCTCTAGAAGAGAATTCTCCATAGAATTTAAGAATTTGGTAGTTACAACATATATAAAGAGCATGCAAAAATCAAAGTACAACTTCCAAAAGAGAGTAGATGGAGGAAGAAAAATAAACAGAAGTTAAAAATCTCAAAAACAACATTTAAGGAATAAGCAGAGGAATCTGAGTAGTGACCAGAGAGAAGAATCCATAAACCATGAGACCTCAGAAGCCAGAGGGGAAAAATATTTCCAAAGAGTGGAAGGGATTATAGTATCATAAATAAATCTACCTTTGCTGGGAAAATGAAACAAACAGTGTGGAAACTGGAAGGGAATGGAGAATGAGGACCTGASGTTTCTTCTGGGTTTTAATGTGATAGATATGGGCATGTTTCTATGTAAAAGGAGAAAGACAAGAGGGGAGGGAGACATTAAAGATTCAAGAGAATATATAATTTATTGACAGTGGTGGGATTCAGGAAATGCAACCCCAAAATAGGGCCCTTTGACATTTGACAAAACAGCTAAAGCAGAAAGCTCTCTTTGTCCTTCTCCCTGTGGACTCATGTGACAGGTGTCCTGCTCTAAATCCAAAGGGAAGAAACAGCACACAGGAAAACCGAGTATTATCAGAACCAACAGGCCTTGTAGATCATGTCCTTTTGTTCACCAATCGTACTTCTTCAATATTGTCCATAAAAATATGTACCTATCTCTTGATCTTTGGTTCTTCATTTTCTGAAGCCTCCCAAGTAATTTTAAAGTTTTATTAGATTCAATAAATTTATATGCTTTTCTCTTGCTAATATAAATTTTTAAACAGGGCTCTCAGCCCTGAACCTTGCAATATGTGAGGAAAGCAATCTTCTCTACAACACAGCAAGGTCTTTCAAAAGTCACTAGATTCATTACACTTTTCTTGCTCACTTACTGTATCCCAAACATGAGAGGATAAAAGTAATGGATAAGGAGAAAGAATAAAAAAAAAAGGAGAAATCTAATGTGTGGCTCTAAGGGAAGACAGTTCTTCCATGGGTACTGGAAAGGA